ATGATTTTACCAATTTAAATTTTTTGTTGCAACAGCAACAGAATAAATTTATAAAGTCATTAGCGAAAGTTGCTTTACAGCAACAAGAGGTAGATTTTTTTTTTTTTTTTTTTTTTTTGTGAATATTAATATTAAAATTATTTAATTTCTATTTTTTTTTTATTAGACAATTTATAGTAATTCTGCAATTGCTACCCCTGTTGAACAAACTACTTCAACTCCTCCCACTGTTGTTAATTGTGACACACTGATTAGCACTAATAAATTATCAAATTGGTGGACATCACCTGAAATTCGAGTACTCATTGAGGAGGTTGGAAAGCATCAGCAAGCTTTACAAAAAGTAAAAGACCCTCGAGAAAAAGAAAAGATTTGGGATACAATCGTTTCCAATTTATAATCATCAAGCGTTGCTAGTTCAGTTTTAAAAGAACACTCCAAAACATCAATCCAACAAAAGTAGGACGCTCTTTTTCAGAAATATCGGGACATTAAGGATACTATAGCATGTACTGGAGAAGAACCTTTACAAAATGAATGGGAATTTTTTTATGATATTGATGAATTTTTAAAATCTGATCCAAGCATCGAAGCATCAATTACAAGTGATTCCATTTGAGGTATTAAACATAAAGCACAAGAACATGAGGAGCCAAATGGGGATGAGCAAGTAATATTGTTTTTTTTTATAATTCGAATTATATATTAAATATTACTGTATTAATTATATCATATTTATGTTTTATACTGTATTATAGACTATTCAAAGAAAACGAGAAAATAAGCAAGTTGGCGAAAAAGAAAATATCGTCAAAGAGTTTCAAACTCTTGTTAAAGAGCAAACTGCAGCTATTATTAAGGTTATAGATCATCAACATAATCGAACTACAGAAATTCAACAGAGACAACATGAAGAACAAATGAAAATTTTCAAACAATTCCTCTTAAAATTTTAATTTATAAGATAATTTGCTAGATATTCTCTTTTATGAATACCCACTACTCTTTTCGCCTCTTCTGTAACTACTTCGTTTTCTATATCATTTGGATTTTCATTTTCTTCAATTTCAATATCTTCGAAAGATAATAAATTATTATTATTAATGCAAAAGTTATATAAAATGCAGCATGCATGAATTATCCTAACTATTCATTCTATATCATTACAATAAATTTGATTTAATAAAATCCTCCATCATTTTTTTAAAATTCCAAATGCTTGTTCGACGATTATTTGCATTGACGATAGTGTTTTATTAAAATGTTGTTCCCAATAACTTAATGAATCATGATTTGGAAATGCTTTCATTAAATATGTTCGAAGAGGATATGCAGAATCTGCGATGATGTAAGTATCTCCCGGAACTCATTGTTCTGGATGAAGCTTAATTTGATGGTAAAGAACAGTACGGCTAAATACACAGGAATTGTATACACTTCCTTTTTTTTTTTTTTTTTTTTTTTATATAAATAAATTATAAATTTTTTATTTAAAATATACAATGCATAACAATATATAATTAATTATAATTTAAATATAAATCTGCTTCGCCAATATGTATAAAAGTAAATCTACACTGGTGATCAACAACCTCAAGAAGGTTGATCGAATGGAAGCTTTTGTGGTTTACATATTGGGATCCATTTTTAGAAGGAGGATGAATAGGGATATGTGAACCATCCATAGCACCAATAATATTTGGTAGTCTCTGATTTTCTAATCCAATTTCTTCTTGTTCGAATCCTTGAATTACAGTCGCTAACCTTGCTCCTTGTGGCCATGCAATTCTGTTCAATTCCAAGTCTAATAATGCCTCTAAAAATCGATCCGTAAAATGACTAACTGACCCTTGACTTACTTCTAAAGTTTGTTCTAATGTTTTTATTTCGGTTCCATTTGCTAAATACTATAATACAATGGCAATTTGTTTCCATACGGGGGTCACATTAGATGCAGTTGCACTAAAAGCAGGGTGGTTTTCTAATCGTGAAACAATTGCATCAAAAGTAGCATAGGTAATATGAAAATGTTTTCGAAATGAGTTATAGCCTTTGTTATCTGTTAGATACAGAAAAACGTCTACCTAAAACCCATTAGTTTTGGGCTTCCTTGCTTAGAAGCTTTTAAATTTAGATGAGTAAAGAATGGAATAATAGTATTTATTATAGTTTGGTTAAATATTAAGAGATGTGTTGTATTTACTACATTCATATCAAGGTATCTATTCGTTTTAAAAGCTTCTAACATTAAAAATAAAGTAGCAATTTTTTGAATCGGTCATAAATTTGTTGAAAATTCATTGTTTATTAAAATAAAAAATAGTGCTTGAGCAACCTTAATCAATTGTAAATTTTTGGAGAAAAAAGGTGGTCTGCATCTTACTAATTTTCTCATCGAAATGACAACTCCCTTAATTCATTTATTTAATTTTTGACTAATTAAAATTTTTCCTCTGATCCATTGATTGAGGTGCTTAAGAACACCCTAAGCCTTGTCTAATTACGTATTAATTTTACATAGTAATAGTGTATAACATTATAATCTACTAACCATAAATATATCATTATTTGTAATTATACTTATTTATATACTTATTTAACTTTGCACTGTTTCAAAAAATTAATAATTATCTAATCCTTAGTTTTTTGATAATATATATCTAATTTTCCAATTCTTTCCTTATAATTCACATCAATCGATATTATAATGATAATAACTATTCAAATTTTATAAGTTGATTAGTTTATTACGCTTATTTAAAAGGTTATATCACACAATATTTGTACGTAGCAAAATATTACACTGTATTTACATAATATTGGCTAAATCTAAAACAAATTTTACCCAAATTAGGAAGTTTGTTAACGTAGTTTTTTTCTCCTACTAATTTACATTCTTTAACTGTTAATATATACTTAAAAACTTACAAACTGAATCAAAAAATTAACCCTATCCCTGCTTAAAACGGGCTTTAGCATTTCACCAAATTAGTTAGTAAATATTTATTCATCAATTATATTTTTTAGTAAAAAGTAGTGTCATACGTATATACATACAGTACAAGCAATTTTATTAATCGGATAAGTAGTTCAATAAAACATATACAACTTAACCTTATCTTCTTATTAATAATCTTTAAAATCAACTCCACATATAATTATAAAATTAAATATATTATAACACAATATTATTCAAAACTTTATTATATACAAATCTGTAAGAATGTTAGTAATAAACTGAAATCTGTGCTTACATTATAAAAATAATTCTAGTAATTCTTGATTTTATGTTCCAGATCGGATCGATTTAATATCATTACAAATCTGATCTATTAATCACATAACTTAATTTATTGATACAAAGCTGACCGAATTACTAATACCCAGTTCAAAATTATACAATAACTTACCATCATTAGAGTTGATCTTTAGTATAGGTAGGCATATATAATTATTATACAATTATAATGTATATAACTTAATTATTTTGAACTAATTTAAGTAATTTTATAAATTATTAGAATCAGGGTTAAGGTCAGAGTTTAAATTAGCTCAAATTAGTTATATTTTATATATTATAATCTTGTAATAATTTATATATGCCCATCTATACTAAAGGAGATCCATTGTTATGGTTAACTGTTAATTAATACTGGTCAGTCAGAGACTCTTAACCAACCGGTTAAAAATCTGATCAATAATAAAAATTAATGTAAAAATATCCTTATATATTTTACTAAGCAAACTAGCTTTTGACTTCTAATAAATATCGTAGAAGATATTTTTAGAACTCTAATCCTATGAAAATTTTTTTCTAAATATTTTCATATTTCTCCATATTTTTTGTGAAAACTCTATAAATTTGCAACATAATCGACAAAATCTAGATAGATCAAATAATCTCTATGATTTAAGGTTATAAATACTATGAATATACAACATTTATAGACAAAACACAGAATATAAAATACAGATTAACTTTTTTTATAGGGAATAGTGATAAGATCATTAAATTTGGCTCAGTAAATTATGCAAAATTTGTATTATACATTTTATAACTATAAAATCTTTTTTATTAAGAAAATTTTATATCATTAAATGTAAAATACAAATATCTCATAATTTACTTAGACAAATTCAATGATTTTGCTACCATTAGAATCTTAAGAATGCCCTTGGCAACTTTAATTAGAACAAAGACCAGTTTATAGTAAAACACCAAGTTTGAATTGTATAAATAATAATCTCTTTGTTATTAACACCTTGTAGAATCAATCTTATAGATATCAATATAATAATTCATCCCAAATAGATTGATATAATATAGGGTCAACTGTATAAACTGTTAATTTTAAAAATATAATGTTTTCATATATTTTAAAATGGTTACGCACTAGTTAATTGGTTGGTCAATTGGTCAGTCATTAACTGTCGGTTATATGTAACCATAATTGGTTAGTTATTGAGCAATAACTGGCATTATTGATCATAACCCACTATAACCGACCATTGCCATCTCTAACTCTAACCCAGTAAAAAAAATTTTCAAATATTTCTATTATTTCTTCATATTTTTTGTGAAAACTCTATAAATCTGCAATATGCTTGACAAAATCTAGACAGACCAAATAATCTTCATGATTTAAGGTTATAAATACTGTGAATATACAATATTTATAGACAAAACATAGAATATAAAACACAGATTAACTTTTTTTATAAGGAAATATAATATTTTCATATATTTTAAAAAGGTTACTAGCTAGTTAATTGGTCAGTCGGTCAGTCGGTCAGTCAGTTGGTCATTAACTGTCAGTTATAACTGTGGTTGGTCGGTCATTGAGCAATAACTGAGCGGTTATTAACTATGATCGACCATGACTGACCATTGCCATTCCTAATTACTAGACACTTCTTGCAGTAAATAAATGCAGTGCGTATACCTACCTTTTTATTACATATTAATTATTATGATTTGAAATATGCATTAAATTTATTCTTCAATAGAGATTAATTTCATTGTCAGTTAACCAAACACAATCTTCAGCATTTTTTAATACTAGTTTGCCCTTATCAATAACTCTTCAATATCTTTAATCATACGATTGTTCTTTTGATGCCATATAATAATTACTAAATAACAATATCTTAATAATGAAATACCTTTTTCTGATCTTAATCCCACACTTATTAAAACTACTAAAACTAATTCTATTAAATTACATTTCAACTAAATATTATATTAACTATAACAACAAACATTTTCCTCATTTTACCATCCACCAATATTACAAATTACAAATATACAAATAATATACAATCATAGAATAAAAAATTAACTTACATTAATATACAATATTTCTAATTTCATTTTACCAACTCCATCTAAACCTATTTTATTACCAATAAACTTCTTAATTCTTACTAACAAAATAACATATCTCATTTATAAATATATAAAAACTATTACTAAACACTTCAAACAACTACAATCATACGATTATTCTCAAAATAAATTACTACTTACTATTAACATACATAATTACTACTTCCAATAAAACACTACCAAAATTTCATATCAAAATAGGTCCAAATCTTAGCATCAACAAATTTCAGCATCAGCCGCGACATTTATTATTAAATTTCATTCGGTTCATGTTAATTTAATTAGTGAGTATAAATACTTTTATTAATATAAATGCTAGTATAGGCTGTTCAAATTAATAAATATTTACTATTTAATTTCATTTCATTTACCTTAATTTAGCACAAGTATAAAGAACACTTATTAATTTAAAATTTTAAAATAAGCTATTCATGTTCATGAATATTTTCAATTTATTCGCGTTAATTTAGGAGGCGAGCATAACGAACAGTTTGTAATCTATGCATTTAAAATAAACTATTCAAGTTTATAAATATTTATTATTTAGGTTTATTTTATTCGCATTAATTTAATGGGTATTAATATTTAAAATAAACTATTGAAATTTATGAATATCTATTATTTAGGTTTATTTTATTCGCATTAATTTAGTGGGTATTAAAGAAAATTTATTAATCAAAATATTTAAAATAAGCTACTCAGATTCATGAATATTACTATTTATTTCATTTTACATATCAAGTTCACAAGCATTATTATTAAATTTCGTTTAATTCGCGTTAATTCATTGCATAAGTATAAAGAATATTTATTAATCTAAGCAGTGTTGAAAATCTTATGTTTTTAGGAGAACATTATCTCAGAGTTAAAAACTTTTTGTTTAAAACAAATGTTCTCTTCTTATGTTTAATGATATGTAGAACATTATTAATTTAGTAGATATAATACAAATTTTATTTACAAGAACACTGTTTAAAAAAATAATTCTCATAAGAGCATCGAAATAAATTTAGATTACCAACGCTGAATCTAAGTACTTAAATGACTAATCGGATATAAGAATATTTACAATTTAATTTCGTTGAATTAGTATATAAATATAAAAACATTAATTAATCTAAGTACTTAAAATATGCTATTCAAATTTATGAACATTTACAATTTACTGTAATTTAATTTTATTTAATTTAGTCAGTGAGCATAAAAGACATGTATTAATCTAAGTTCATGAGTTAAGCCATTCAAGTTTATAAATATTTATCATTTAATTTCATTTTATGTATTTAGTTTGTGGGTATAAAACACGGTTAGTTTAATCGTGCTAATTATCTGGTATGCATAAATTATTAAATCTAAATTAAATAAATACTATTTATTGATGACTATAGAGATTCTTTTTATGGAAAACGTACACATTATAATAAATACAACAAGATTTAGCAATATGTAATGCAGTGAGTTGGGAAAAGGTGAATAATTGTAAAGATATTAGTTTTGTAATTTTTAGTATAATAGGGTACAGTAAAGAATAAAGTTTTTTTGATTTGAAATTTGGTAGTGTTTTAATGGAAGTAGTAATTATGTATGTTAATAGTAAGTAGTAATTTATTTTGAGAATAAGCGTATGATTGTAGTTGTTTTATATATTTATAAATGAGATATGTTATTTTGTTAGTAAGAATTAAGAAGTTTATTGGTAATAAAATAGGTTTGGATGGAGTTGGTAAAATGAAATTAGAAATAATGTATATTAGTGTAAGTTAATTTTTTTTATTCTACGATTGTATATTATTTGTATATTTGTAATTTGTAATATTGGTGGATGGTAAAATGAGGGAAATGTTTGTTGTTATGGTTAATATAATATTTAGTTGAAATGTAATTTAATAGAATTAGTTTTAGTAGAGTGGGATTAAGATCAGAAAAAAGTATTTCATTATTAAGATATTGTTATTTAGTAATTTATTATATGGCGTCAAAAGAACAATCATATGATTAGAGATATTGAAGAGTTATTGATAAGGCAAACTAGTATTAAAAAATGCTAGAGATTGTGGTTTGGTTAACTGACAATGAAATTAATCTCTATCGGAGAATAAATTTAATGCATATTTCAAATCATGATAATTAATATGTAATAAAAAGGTAGGTATATGCACTGCATTTATTCAATGCAAGAAGTGTCTAGTAATTAGGGATGGCAACGGTCGGTCATGGTTGGTCACAGTCAATAAGCGCCCGGTTATTATTATTGCTCAATGACCGACCAACTGCAGTTATAACTGATGGTTAATGACCAACCGACTGACCAACTGACCAACTGACCAACTAACCAATTAACTAGCTAGTAACCTTTTTAAAAATATATGACAACGTTATATTACTCTATAAAAAAAGTTAATCCATGTTTTATATTCTGTGTTTTGTTCATAAATGTTGTATATTCACAGTATTTATAACCTTAAATCATGGAGATTATTCGGTCAGTCTAGATTTTGTCAAGCATGTTGCATATTTATGGAGTTTTCACAAAAAATATGGAGAAATAATGGAAATATTTGAAAAATTTTTTTACTAGGTTAGAGTTAGGGATGGCAACAGTCAGTCATGATCGGTCATAGTCAATAACGCCGGTTATTGCTCAATGACTGACCAACCATGATTACGTATAACCAATGGCTAATGACCGACTAACTGACCGATCGACTAACTGACCAATTAACTAGTGTGTAACCATTTTAAAATATATAAAAACGGTATATTTTTAAAATGAGACCCCAAGCTTTAGAATCAGTCGCGACAATAAACATTATGAATTCTAATAGCTTATCTTAAATACTTATTTTAATACATGTTTTCATAAATAGTATGTATTCATTAACTTGAGTAGCTTGCTTAAATACTAGAGTGATAAATCTTTTTTTGTACTCACCTCTTAAATCAATGTAAATGGAATGAATTAAATCGTAAGTGTTCGTAAACTTGAATTGTTTATTTAGATAAAACTGATAAAACTTCGATTAATAAATGTTCTTTAAACTATGCTCACATTCTAAATTAATGCGAATAAAATGAAATCAAAATTAAATATTCATTAGACTAAATTACTTATTTTAAATACTTATATTAAATAAATGTCCTTTATATTTACTCACTAAATTGGCATGAATAAAACGATATTGAAGCATATTATTTAAATTGAAATTATTACGGATTATGCCAAAAAGGATTTTTTAATATTTAATAAATTTAAATATAATTATATATAGTGCTGGACAGCAAAAACCACCCACTATTTATATAAAGTATAAGAATGATTATAACTCAGAAGTGACTTTAAATAAATATGGCTTACAGATTTGTTGGTTTAGAATTGATTTTTATTTTTCTTATAAGATTAAAAAGTTATTTCACTTTAAAGTTTATATTAATCCAGTAATCAAAAATCGGGTGCCCAGTATAAAAAAAATTGTCAATATATATTTTTGATCAATCAGAATTAGTTATATGCAAATTAACTAATCATAATTGATTACATAATTCTCTAATTTAACACTTTTTGAAATGTTTTTTTGCTGTCCGGTACTGCATAAAATCTATTTCAAAATATCAAATCACTTTTTTCAATTAATTTTTTTATAAATAGTAATTGATGTTTTGAGGTTTTGAGGTTTTGGATTTTTGCCTAGGTTTTCCCACAAGTATATTTAAAAAATCTTATTATGTATTGAGCTTGATTTTGTTATGAAGTAAATTATTTGAATTTAATTAATTAAAGTATATATTATCACATTATCAACAACTGGCGGTAATAGGTTATTTTTCTTTTATAAAAATTATGGAACGCTAAGCCAAATCTTTGATGGAATAAAGTACATTTTCTACATTACAACCATAATTCATTAAAATATCTTGAATTCGAAACCTTTAAAATAATCTTATAAACATAAAATAATAAAATCTTAAAGCATTTGTTTCTTAATTATCTTAATTCTCGTAAGACACATTTTTTACATAAACATAACATGAAAGATTATAGTTTAAAAATTAAACCTTAAATAGGCGTGTTTTGTATGCTTGAATTTAATGTTTCGTTTATCTTTTTTGCGTTGAAAGATCTAAAATCAGTGAGTCAGTCGCACTACAAAAATAATCTGAAAGAGACAGACGTGTTGGATTTGGCAAGTGGTGTAACATAGTTCCGGATAGTCTACACTAATCTAATTCTCAACAATCCACGCTACATTGGGCTATTGGTAAAGATAAAAAAAAAACAGTTTTAAACACTTTCTCACCGATTTTAAAACCGGTAATTATTAAAAGCTCGACAGTGCACCCTCTCAAATCCGATAGGCATGGTGGACAGCTTTTGTATCAGTTTTGAGAGGTTATCAGATTTAAGATACCGATGGCCTACCAGTCACATGATTATAAATAAATATAATTGGCTAGAATATTTATTATATATCTACTTGGTTACACAAAGCTCAACCCAAGCCAATCAAATAGATTTACAATACCTGACAAACCCGATATCTTATAGGAATCTGATCTTTTGAGTATTGGTTATCATAAATGGAAGGTTATCGGATTTGAATTATGGAACAGACATGGTGGATCAATTTTTTATCAGGTATAACAGGTTATCGGTTTTGACAGGATCTGTTTTGGGAGGATATACTGTATGTTTTTTTGAAACCGTTTTATACTTTTGGAGGCTACTGTACATGAGTGCTGCTAAGGGAAAAGGGAACATCTGGCATTATATTATAAAATTTTCCAAAACTTTAATCAAAGATATCTTAACAACCACTTGACAAATTTAATAAAAATTTTTTTATTTGAATTTTACAGATCTGTAGAATCCATATAAAAATAATTTTAATTTGATCA